TATTCATCGTGTAGTCAAGTAGACACAATATTATGTCAACTGCCATATTAATACTACAGTTATTTCAAATTATATTTACTGCATAAACTGTATTGTCTGTATTATATAACTTATTAATACCTAATAGCTATACCTATACGTTATTTATAATTAGCTAAACAAACTTGAATCGGCAATAGATATTTGAAATGTTCACTAACAAAAATATTCATTTTCATCAAATCGCTGATTGTCAGATTGCCACATGTAATAAATTACATTAAAAATATCAGTTGTTACATAATACCTCGTTTAAATTATTAGAGTAAACATACGTCGTATTTTAACTTATGACTATTAGTTAAATAATTTTAATATTTAAAACCAACAAATGAATGATTCAATCCTATTATACATATGAAGCGTATACTTTTTTCAGCGTATCACGGTGCCTCTCTACTCCGTTCAACTAAACTTTAAATTCTTATAGCTCATTAACTACTCGTCTGAATTTCAATTTTTATATATAGCCAAAAAAATATTCAGTTTCAGAATATGCAATTAAAAATATATGTTGTCATTTAAAACAATACAAAAGTTAAAAAAATTATAACAACAAAACTTCTTAAAAAACACAAAAATATTTTTAAATAATGAGTATTGTTTGATTAAAAAATCACTCTGTATATTAAACCTACGCAATACCAGTGATTAGTGATTACGCATTATGTGATAGCTTCGTTTAAAATTTCATTCGACAATCCTTCACCCACGTAATGACGTAAAATGAAAGATGCGTATAGAAAAAGCAAACAAGGGATCTCGCCGAAACCCATCGATAGTAAAAATTAAAATTAAAAAAAAAATTTAACAAATATTAAAATAAATAATAATCAATATTGATTTTTTTTTTTTTTTTGTTTTGTATAATTATTTTCTAATGTAGGTACGCGCATTTGAACGTGCAACCTTAATTTTAAAATACGCACGACAATCCTTCATCCATAAAATTACATAAAATCAAAAATACATGAAAACGGCAAGCAAAAAGTGTCTCGCCTAACTCTCCATCAATAATAGAAATAACTTTTTCGAAACTTTTTTTTTTTTGCTTATATAAAGCACGCTTTACTTGTAAACTATGAATGTATAGTTTTAAAATTCACACATCTTCTTCGAACAACAAAAATTACATGGAATGGCCAGAAATACGTATTTCTGGCAAAATATTTATGACTTTTGTAATTTTTTTTACAAATTTAATATACGTGAATGTACAAGATTAGTTTTGAAACCTCCGTTATAATTTTCTTTCCGCGCAAAATGACGTAAAATGAAAAATAAATAGGAACGGTCAGCAACAGGTTATTTTATGTTTAGTGATTGTGAAACGTTACTTTGTAAGTACATAATTTGAATCAGTGGCGTATTTAGGATTTTGTCAAAGGAGGTACAAAGGATGTATGGTTATTTGCCATACATTGGCAAATAACTTTATTTCCCGAATAGTTTAAGGAGGGGGGTGTTCACTTACCAGCACCATTGTTTCTCAAAAATGTTAAGAGTCGATATTATCAGTAAGTAAAGTGAATATACACATATATTTATAGAGCTGTTTTCCTAAAACAAAAAATAGTGATAAATTAAACCTATGATATAATACAATATCCCTATAGCTTATACTTTATAGATATTAACCCTTTTAGGTCCAGAATTAAACAATGTGAAATAGTGGATTACAATAATATGTGAATTAAAGATTAATTTGAAAATAATAAATATTATCTCATTGATGCGAATTTTTTTATTTGAAAAATAAGTAAATAATGAGTTCTTTTGTTTTGAAGATTGTTTTAAAATTGTATAGTATTTTTTATTTTAAAATTGTACCTAATTATTTAACTTTTTTTTTAAATTATTAAACTAATGAAGCTAATAAATTAATAAACATTTTATTATAAAATCTAATTTATTTATTTGATTATATGAATAATAAATTATGTAGGAATATGATGATGAATATTGCGATGATGTTTCTATGATATGCCATGCGATGAAATAGCCACGATGAAAAGACGGTGTACCAACGAAGTGTCACGACACGTAGGGTTGCGACTTGCGGGCGCGCTAAGACTGTGACCAGTTACCGGATACACATAATGATACGGTCACGGATATAACTTACTTTTTCCAGGAATATAATATTTTATACTGATTTCACAGCATCATCAGTCATCACACTTAATTAATACATTTTATTGAAGTTATTTAATTAGGAACCTATCACATTTGTACAGTGCCGAATTTAGACATTTTGTGCTCCGGTGCAAAATAAAAAAAAAAAATTATAAATAAATAATCAACACCGCCGCCGAGTAGTAAAAGAAATAATACGTAATCCCATGACATGATTCACAAATCACAAGTATTGTGGTAGATTGGTACTGTGGCTCGAAATAATCGAGTTTGATGACTAGTTAATAAGTAATAATTATTGTATTATTGTAAAAATAAACACGCCGCACGCAATATCAAAATATGCTGTATTATTATAAATGACCTACGTCTATCGACAAGATCACAACAAATCTGGAAAAACGATTTTGGATATTAATAATTCTTGATCGCTGATAGCTATAAATACATATATTAACAGCATAGTATATAAACAATAAACATTATATTATTTAATACTGTTATTAAAATAATTTTAACTATAAAAGTTTTGATATTCACACAATTGAACAAATTTCTAACTACGAAATTTTAGCGCTTCCAGAATTCTGGCACCCTGGGCAGTTTTAGGAAATACCCCCCTTAAATGCGGTCCTGCATTTATAATATAAAAACAAATGAAACAGTACTTCAACACCTTGTTTATTTATAAAATGAATCTTTAGAAAATAACTTTTAAACAACAATTGTTAAAAATAATAATAAAATGTAACAATTTTTAATCACTGAAAACAAATAAAAATATAATCTTGATACAGGCTCATTTTTTTGAAATGTATATTATTATTATGATAGATGATATGACTGGCTATCGACAGTTATGGTGCAATTTACTTACAATAATCACAATACTTAGTTTACTATGATAATGTTTATATATGTAGAAATAAATAAATAAACCACTCAAATGAATTTGCAAAATTAATTTGTATAAATTAATTAATTATTAAAAGTCTACAAAAAAAAAAAAAAATAGAAGATTTATGGTATTTAAAAAAATTATAAATAGTAGGTACATGTTGTATTTACTTTAATGTCGTTTGCTATATTTATAAGTTATAACATAGAACATAGTGCGTTTTGAAGTGATATGGAAATATTTCATTTTGTAAAAATATTATAAAATAGTGTGTTTTGCCGCATATTTAAAAACCAAATACTTATTTATCATGGGAAATAAAACGTTTTGATGCAATTTGTCAATAGTTCATTTTGCCTTAATACTAAACATGGAAATAGTGCCTACGTTATGCCACAATAACCAATTATTAAATTCAATTTAACATGGGAAATAGTACGTTTTAGTTCAATTTGATCACACCATTCGATTCCCCGTTGGTTTTTTATATGAAGCAATGTAAAACTCAATTTATGAAATTTTGGAAATAGTACGTTTTTAAATGTCGCCCCTCAATTTACAATCATAATATATTCCATCAACGTATAGATTCATTTTAATATTTTTAACAGTATAACCTATTTTTTTATTATTTTATTAACATAAGTACTTAGTTGATTTTTATTGTCATTTTTAAATATTTATTAATGTAATTAAATCATATTTAAAGTCTATTTATGTGTTACCTATTAATGGATGGTTGTCTATTGAGAACACTGAACAGACATTCAAATGATTGTCCTTGTCTAATTTTGGATAATTTAATTGATTTGAAAGTAGATGGATGTAGATATTGTAGTTTTGTTTATAAAATATGATTTTACGAGTAAATCCATTGGAAAAGTTACCAATTTTCCGATATCTGCCCATTTGTCCTTGCCTATCAGAATTGTAGTTGTTAGCCAATTGGATCGAAAACATTCATAACATCTTGTAATAATATATTATAAAGCATTAAAAAAAAAAAAACAGTATTCCAGGCTATGCATATTTTTTTAATTTTAATTTTTAATGTTATACAAAATGGCTAAAAAGCATTTATAAACAATTCTTTTTACATTTAAAATTATCCAATGTTGTCAACATTTTAACTTGGGTATAGCGCTTATAAAAATAATAAACAGTCCTATAAGGTTTTGATAATTTTTACCATTGTGAATTCTCATAAGGAACCTTAAATTAAGTTTTCAACATTTTCAATGAATATCATAAATATCAATTTAAAACAAAACTAAAAAAATGCAATTAAGTTTTTATTAAAATTTCTCTCAAATTTGAATTATATTAAAATAGTTTTTCAATTATAATAACACTTTTAGCAGTAGATATACAATATTGTAGTTGACATTTTTAACTTTTTTTGATCATCTAAATTTATCAAACCATTTTTAAATGTTTTATAAAATTATAGTTACGAGTTATCAACATCATAGCATAAAATATGTGTTAATCATTAAAAATTAATACCTAAATGTTAAAAGTAATATTTACAGAAAGTTTTCAAACTTATTAACTTAAAAGTTAAAATAAAACATTTATGAAACTAAATTCTTATTCTGTTTAATCGTCTAACAACATTTTGTAGCATAATTTTTTAAAATAATAAATTGTTTTAACATATACTAATAGTATACCAAATAACCATAAAAGTAATGAATTATTTGTATCAAAATTAATAACATATAGGTAACATTTCATTATAATATTCAAAATTTAATAAATATATATTTTTAGTTTAATATATCAGAACCTATTTATATTATATAACACAGTCTTATAGTTAAATTATTTTTAAATTTGTAATTGAGTTGTATAAAATATATAATATCTTAATAAAAAATTAAAATTATATTCAATAATAATAATAATAATAATATTAATAACATTTAAGTTAGAGTAACAATCAAACTTTACCCAGTATAAAATAAATATATTTATTTTTTTTACAATGCTTCTTCACTATTAGTAAATAAAATAAAGTCATTAATACAATACATGACAATATATATGTAACCATACAAGTGTTAACATCAAACATCCATTCTTTTTCATCAAACATATTATTATTATAGTTAATATCATCATCATTAATGGATCTTTTACTTGAGTTAATAAAATTTTTAGGTTGAGAATTAATATTATTATATGGTATCTTTTGAAGACTAATGGCTGAATACATATTTTTCAAATATTTTAGCACTTCAGTTTTATTCCACCCAACAGTACCATTTTGATAACATGTTTCACAATGTACTTTCAGAGGAAATAATACTTTTGGATGCATTGGATCTTCAGTAACATCACCTGTAAGTCTTTGGTTCACTTGATTATGAGCCGACCAAAGCCACAGCACTGCATCATCCAAAGAAGAAACATTAGTTTGAATTGTGGTAGCCATATTCATGAAGTGTTCAGAACAATCTGTACATCCAAAAAAATGTTTAACATAACCAGCAATAGTTTCCAAAACTTGTTTTCCATTAAATGTTTTCAAATTCTTTATAGCTGCTTGTACTGAAAGTGTATGAAACATTGTCCATAAGCCACATGGATATTTCCTATACATTGGTTGACTACCTTCACATCCAATCCAAATATGATTAGTAACATAAGGTTTTAACAAAATGTCATAGTTGTTAATAAAATTTCCAAGTTTCTCTCCTGAAACTGTTTTATTGAAACGTGTATGATCCCATATTAACTTAATGAATTTTTTGCTTCTAATGCTAGAAGGAAAACATTCAATAAGAAGTTCCAAGTAACTATTCAATGCATTTAATGATTCACCAGAGATAACACTTCGTGATAGAATCTCATGTTCCAGAGAATATCTTAATGTAGCTTCTAAATCTGACAAATAAACTGTGTTATCATTATGCGTTGAACCTTTGTCTTTTTTAAATAATAAATTATAAAGCGTTGTAGTAATATCAATTAAGCTGAATGGAGTCATGTGCACTGTTTCCAAATATTTATTGATGGTATTGGTAAAATTCGTTTTGTTATTTCCACTTGCTAAAAGTTTGAATTGGTTATTGTTTTCAACAAGATAAAGACTTGGATATGTTTCTGTTTTTAATAGGTCAGCCAATTCTGTATTAAAGCTTAATACACTTATTATTTTAACTTTTTTGACTGGACAGAAATCAATAATAAGCTCCTGAGCAAGCTTATTATTTGCCTCATCAATTATAATAAATGTTAAAATATTATTTATATCCAATTCTACATTAACCTTTTCATAGGGTTGTATATCACACAAAGTTGATACACTTGTATTTTTTTGAGTTTCTTGAAGCATTTTTATAAGAAAATCCTTCATAACTTGTATATTAAAAGATCTAATAAAATCTTGTCCAATATCATTTGATGCTGGCCTAGGAGGAAAGTAGCGTATAGTAGGATAAGCCATGATTTCGTAATCTCGGCATATTTGGCTATTTATTTCGTTTGAACAATCAATTACACCAACTTTCACATATTTTCTCCATCCTGTAAATCATAAAAAAATAAAAATAAAAATATTGATTCCATAAAAATAACACATAGCTACAAATAATTATTTATAAAAATGTGTAACAAAAATTTTAGTTAGATCAGTAATCAATAGTTGACAGTTATCAAAAATTAAAAATATTACCATTTCTTTTATATTATGAAATCTATTTACATACTTATAAATCAAATGTTTTGAATCATTAATACCAAAAAATACAAATAAATTAAATATGCATTATTTATCTATTTAATACTAGCTGTCTCAATGCACTTTGTTGCATATTAAAAGTATAAACTTTTATATTATTCATTCAAGTTTGGTTTAAAAATACCAGGGCTCACTCCTTCTTTAAAATGCTAATTTCACAAAATTGTTTATTTTAATAGGTACTTATATTGCAAAAAGAAGGTACTATTAAGTCTATACATTTGTATTTTTAAGATGGAAACTAACTTAAAATACCAAATTCTTCAAAATATCCTATTTTATTCTATATTTTTAATCATTCAAATAATATTAAGTAATAAAACAAATGGTAGAGAATTACTTAATAACTCTTTAACTGAAAATTAAACATATTGTAAGAAAAATTTTTGATAAAACATCACATTGAGGGTTTCACTAAAAATCAAAATAAATTAAGTACTGAAGTATTAATATTACAACTCTGATTACAGCAGTATTTTCACATTTTTATTTTTTTGCTTTAAATATAGGTACTGCTTAATATTCATAGATGCCTAATTAATAAATGTATAAATGTACATAATAAATTGGATAAATATAATTAATTTAATTTTTAAGTATTAATAATAATAGTGCCTATAAATTAATTTGTGGTTTTAAATGTCAGTAATTAAAAATGTATGGTTGGTGAGATATATGACTGTATGTTTTAAAAATTATAGGAACAATAGTTAAAAAAATATTTACAACCTATGAACTATCAATTACGATATAACGTAATAATCCTAGCAGTTAGTACATACAAGTTATAATATAAGCTTCCACCACATATTTTTTAACTATTATATTTTAATATTATCTGACATTATTATTAATATAATGATAGTATATGTATTATCAAATAGATTATATTTAAATATTAAAACATTTTTTTAATAAGTTAACAAAATGTTAAATTATTTACAACTCACAATTGTTAATTATTTTATTAATGTTTTAATCAATGATAGATATGCTTAATAAAAATCAAGTGATTACAGAGAAGAAACTATATGTTTTGTATAAAAAATAATTATAATGTTTGCAATTTTCTATGGTAAATTAGTACATGGTATTCGTTTAGTATGTGACCTACCGGACCAATAATAGCCGATAATTAATTTAAAAAAAGTTATAAAAAAATGTCATAAAATTATTTTATTATAAATTATGTTTGGCAATACACATACTAAGCCTAGTAATACAGGTAGGTCACATACTAAACTCGATTTTTGCTTGGTAGGTCACATACTAAACAATTACCTTAGTACACATAATAAGTAGAATACAAATATCAATTTGAATGGTAGAATCTTTTGATTTTAAGTCAAAAATGATTTGTATATTTAATTAAATCAGTACTTACCTATACCTATATTACTGCTTATATTTAATAATGCATGTATGAGTTTAAAGTGTATAAGAGATAATGTGCATAATCAACATTGTTTATTTGCATTTTTATTTTGAATTATAAATATCTACAAATAAGTACTTACCTATTTTAAGAATTATTTAAATATTATAACAGTAAATGTGTTCAAGTATTTAAGATGGTGTTTAAAATATTATGCAAATATAATAGCAAAACATTTATTTATACTTTCAAATAAATAAATAAATGTTAAATGAATATTAGGTAAATTACCGTAGACTTGAATTCCAAATCCTTTCCAAGGGGTCGAGAATCGTATACAATGTCCACAAAAGGCATTGTAAAACTCAATCACATAAGATGTGTTTCCTTGCAATACTTTGTCATTAAAATTGGTATTATCCAATATTTCCATTAGATCAGTGTCTTCGTACAGGCCAATAAGTTCTGCACATGCTGGGGCAGTACTGAGTGTTACTATAAGCAGGACAGCCAAGACATGGCCGTTACAACGTAACAACATTTTTTAGTCGTGTGAAGACTCTGTTGACTAGATCAAAAAAAATAAAAAACTATAGACATAGATTGTAGCATGTATCAGCTGCATTCCACCAAATTCATAACGGACATGCCGTTTTAGGTTGATTGGAGTGAACCACAGCTAGGCAATATATTTTATAAATAAAAATGTCCGACAACAACTTACATTGATTGCACCCGAGAGTCTAAGACTAACGATGACGAATGCAGGCGGGATTCTGAGAAGAGAAATAGAACCAAAAACAAGTATTAATTAATTATTTGGCGTATTATCTCAAATCTGTCGGTATTGCTGCGTTACCTACCTATTTTCTGTTCATATAAATCAAGTATTGTACAAAAATAAAATTAGTACTACATTTAACATAAGTTTTAAAAGTAAATTATTAAATATTATCGGTTTCGTGTGATGTTGGTGTGTTGATGATTTATTGGAAACACAAATAACGAGCAGCAAACAACCGCCGCTGAATCTACATACGTCACTAGATGCGGCGCGACGAGTCGTAACCGTCTCGAACGGCGATGGTGGACACCGGAATACCGGACATGCACGCTTTGTAAGACTGTCCGCGTCTGGAAATACGTACGTGCGTTGCAGTACTATCTGCCGAGTGCCGACTACTAAACGTGAATGTCTGCCGACAGAACAGATCGCACACAAGGCAGAGACGGACTGAAACACGCGAATGACGCGGAGGTACTGAACGACGGGACTACTTGTCGTCTTGCCGAGCGGTGTGACGGCGTCGATCGAGATCGTTTTCGTCTTCTCTTCCACCGCCGACGACCGCTTTTAACTTTTAAATTTTAATGATCGACGACCGATCACTGTACAAAAAGTGTAAAACGTAATAACATCGACTGATTATTAATTAATGATAACAATTATGTCTTGTACTTCGGTGTTCGTTAGATGTAGGTCGAATAAACGGTTACGATAACGGACATTATTATTATTATTCCCTGTTATCGTATTATGACATTATTGTTTCTTACAATGAGTCACAACCACAATTCACGAATATAAAGAACTTTTAATTGTACTCGCAACTACAATTTTGTATGTGTGATTTGAACAAGGCGTGTGGCCTTGTTCAATCCAATGTACCAACGGTAAACCAGCAAGTTCAAACTGTTCTAAGTTGTGGTTTACAATTATTGTTATACATACTACTAATGTAGTATTGTGAACTATATAGTTAAGACTATAAAAAAAAAAATAACAGTATTGTAGCTGTTGTTAGTGGACGAGGAGGGAGGGGGCTAAAAGTCTCCGAGAAAATTTAAAAATACTTTCAGCGGTCTGCGAACGTCTTATGCGTTACGCTACGTCACTGCCCACTGGTCCATAATACTAACACAGTGACACCATTGAAGTATTGAGTACTGGCAAAGTGGCAACAGAGACAACCGAACATTGAAATAATAACTGAAACTAAATTTTTGAATATTCCGTATTTCCGTATAGCCATGACCGTATTTACTATTCATTAAATAGATATTGAAAAACACATTATCACATTATCACGATATTTTTATCTATCGGTCAGTGGTCAACTATAACCAAGGATTATAGATAATTATCTGGAAGCAATGAACCACGAAATGACGACTTTAGAATCTTTAGATCATAGGTGTTGTATATATAATAATAATATGATCTAAGATGACATTCACCAGCATGCCGCTGTCCGCCTCGAGTTGTGACTGATAACGAGTAAATCATAATATTCTGTATTGTTGCCGTGATAAGTGATAAAATTGATAATGATAAATTAGTAATTACAATATTACTAACAGTAGTCGGGACTCGGGAGTAGCGCGCTAATTGTGGTTACGTTACAGTAGCACGCTACTTTTACCTATTTAATCTATTCTGTGTTTTTACTTTAGTTGTAGCGTTTACCATAGCGTCACTACAATACATATCACACAATGTAGCGAAATACTAAAGCAGTAAAGCGCACTAGAAATATATGGTTAGCGTAGCGAAAGTTTTTATTGGTTTACCACTACTTCCAACCTATTTCATGATAACTAAAATATTGTGATGTATGTTTATTAATTTAATTATATTAAAATGAATGTGTTTTTAATTTTTCGGACTTAACTTGGATCACATTAATAATAGATTATAGATAAGACTTACTTTATCAAATCCTCCCTCCCAGTGACCGAACGTCAAATTAGTACAAACAACCAATATTGGCAATTTTCAATAATACGTTTTTTTGTGTTGAATTTTGTTACAAAAATACATGAGATACATTGAATAAACCTGCCTTTAAGAAGTACAAGAGAATAGTGGTAGGCATTAACAAATAATAACCAAGTACCTACTTACCAAGTGAATATCTAAATAAATTAAGAAAATTAAAAAAAAAAATGTAGCAAAAAAATAGTACGATTTATTTAAGTAATAACATTAGAAATAATGCACTACATTTAAAAAAAAGTATCTTTAGCAAGAGCGAGCTTCTTTTTTGGGGGAAGTAGCAGTAGTGTTGGCGAGCTACAAAAAAAAAAAAAACTATTTGCGTCCGATCACTAATTTCATATTATTATATGCATTTTGGCTCGATCAAAACGATTAAAAAATTTAATATACCTACGGTTTTTATTAATAAAAACTAATTAAATAATAACAAACAAATTCTTTATAAGTATTTATCTTAGTTATTTAAAAATATTAAACATACATGAACACAATTTTTTTTTAAGCATTTAAAGTTAGAATTTTGACAAATTTAGTTAATAATCGGGAATAAAAAAATCTAAAAAATATTTAAGCTTGATTTTTTTATAAACTTTTTTAAACATTTTTTGAATAAAGTTTGACATTTAAATGAAGAATAACGACTTTGGTTATTTTGTTGTAATTGAAAAATATTTTTTGTGAAGATTGAAAACTTTTATGTTTATTTTTATATTTTATAGGTAATATAATTAATTATAAAGTACAGTTGCTTAAACAGACATTCGAAATGAAAATAAATAAGTGTATAAACGATGTGTAACACAAAAACCGGTGCTATGAATATTGAATACACTTAAATATGAATGAATGAATAACACCTTTGACGTTGACGCAGCATCATTTGAAATCGATTATCAACGTTCATTGTTTAATCGACACGCATATGGTTAGAAAATAATATGATGAAATCCTGATCAGGCGAAAACGGCGTGGTTGAGAAAATTGTTTACTGAGGAAGGGTAGTAAGAACTTTACAAAAATATTTTATTTTCATTCTAAGATATTTTTATTTTTTATTCAAGCGAATAGGTATTTTTTGTTGAAAAAATACGTGATTTCTGACCACTGACGAATGAAATTATCACGGTTAAGTACTCACTAACATGGCATTCGACCTTTTATACACCGTGTATGAGACAATAATGTATATTTATAAATTATACTCAAAGAATAACAATAATACACATATACCTCATATAATCGTGATATTATTTAATAATAATAATATAAGAAATATTGGTAACCATTTATTTTTTGAATACATAAAACGTTATAAACGTCCTACTTAAATATTCTTATATTTTAAATAATTACACTAAAGACATTTTTTAATGTGTTTTTATAAAACTCAACTTTTAGACGTATACAGTATACTCATCAGACCGTATATATAATTAATAACTGTGAACATTGATACATATTATTTAGATGATATACATAATATAGTATGGACCAATAGCCATCGTCGAGACCATTAACATTTTTTATCTATTATTTCAACTATTTTAAATACCTATTGCACAGTTTATGTTGTGTGATGTATATTATAAAATACCAATCTTATAATACATATTATATAAATGTGTATTTATATATTGTATGTATACTTTCTAACGCTTCATTTAATAACTCTGCAATTTTTTATTCTAACGTAACCATTGTTAGAAGACTGTCATCAATGTACACACGTATAATTATAAAAATAATGTCACATGATTCGTGTTAATATTTTATAGGCTATTAAGTTCGATTGTTAACAACGGAATTATAACATAAATTCTTATTGTAAGCCAATTGGGAAATTTTTTAAAAATGTCCTTAAGCTAGACAAACATTGATCGTTACATTTTTTATTGGTAATCGGTAAAGTATCCACGAACAAAATATTCAAATTTGTAAACAATTTTTTCTATGGTATAAAATAATGTAAATTAGTAGATCATAGGTACAAAAAGATTTAGAGAAACGTTTTTATAAATTTAAAATTGTATTTTATAATTTGATGATATGAATTATTTTCTAATAAAATTAGCAACTAAAATAATTAAAATATTTTTATTGTCATCATTGTAATTTACAGTGGCGGCTCGTAGATAGGGGTGATGGGGCGATCGCCCCCCTTCTAAAATTATCATTTATTACAAATTTATAAGTTTATTATCAATTTTTAATTTTATATTGTAGTATAATATTATCAAAAATAAAAATTGTGTTTTCTATAATATTTACATTATTAAGTATTATGAAAACATTATCAGATAATGGGAGTTTAAAAATAAATCATTCAACACTGTAGCTTCTGAAAATCGATAATCGATAACGATTTACCAAGATCCGCGAGCAGCACACGCCATGCTTGGGCGATGTTAAAAGTCGCTCGTCATAATTATGATCGGAATACAAAAACTAAGAAGGGAGAACACAATAATAATACTGCCGCCGGGGCGATGATTTTAATCACCCGATACACATGGATTCCGAACTTGCGTATATTTATTATTTACTTTTTGCAGTCATAACTCGCAATCAATTATTTCAATTTGATATTTTTTTCCAAAAATATATACTGGAATTATTAAGTCATGGATTCATCCACACATAAAAATTTTATTAAATTAATTTAATTAAATAACCATTATTAATATTATTTGTGTTCGATACCTACTTTCCATAAATAAGCAATTTTATATCGCTCTCCCACTTTCAAAGTACACGAGCCGCCACTGGTCATTTGTATTCCTTAAATATATAAAGACGTTTTAATTTATATTTTATTTTATTTTTTTATTTATTGTATAATTTAATAATATTTAATATTTCTATATTAATTTTTCTTATGAGTAGTACATAATATAACATTATAACGTAGGTTGTAGGTATATCTTTCTAACTATCTTAGTGTATAGGTAATGCATATAAGTAGGTATAACGTATAACGTTTATACATAACATTCGGTATATTATTATAATATGTCTAATATGCACTACGAAACAATACATAGTAGGTACGTATTGTTACAGGCTTACAGCATAAAAAAAAACACAAACATCCTACTTCAGAAACGGCTACTGAGTGGTAACAGCATTTAATCATTAGAACAATGTAGGAGTCAATTGATAAATAAAAATAATTAATCGAAGTAGAAATCTAATGGTAGTAATACTAGTAATTATATTCACGATATACTTTTAATACCTATTCAAATTTTCTTAGTGTAAAAATAAGCGTGTCTACTTTTCGTTGCTTCGGTCGTTAGTTCGAAATAATTGTAAGATCAATGATACTTTTTAAATTGTCGTTAATTAGTTTAATTTAAGTACACCGCAGGAACGTGTGATAACATGTGGCGGAAAGTACTTGAGCTCAACTGCTCTGGACGCACTAGTACATTTGACTATATCGTACGTGGTGGCTTCCTTATAATATGTGGAGCCCTGTTCCTCTTCTCATAGATCTGAGGTCCTCGGTCCTCAATGTTATGTTTTTTGAAAGTTGTTGTTTTCATAGGTGCAATTATTTATGTGAACCCGTATGATAACAATTCCTTATCACCATATAAATTGCCATACATTTGGTAGGTCAAACCCGGCTATTACTATATAATAGCTTAGTATTAATGATTCTGATTAAGAATTTACACATCGCAATTCG